ACCTTCCTAGTTTTCTCTCGGTGATAATTATTATTTTTTTTTTTTGTAGAAATTAAGGGAAGGAGTAAACGAAGAGAAATTTAATCAGAGGGAAATTTTGTTTGTAAAAAAATTAATTCGTATTTTTATCCTTTTCCTTCTGTTCTGTAGAGCTGAAGAAAATTTCGTATTCATGGTTCTTCTACATAATTGAAACGATGGAACGAAGGATTAGGAAAGAATTCGAGGGAGGGAAAAAAGGAGGAATTCGTGCATGAATTAGGTCCGTCCTGAGAAACCAGATCACCGTATTAGAACCACGAATGTTTCCACTCGGTGTGTTTGACTTTGTTCCCTAATTTGAATATGGAAACGAGCGTCTTGTAAGCTTAATTACAAGGCGAAAAGGTTGTGGAACGGTTTAAAATATCAGCGTTATTCCCTGATGAGCGGTGTTTGAACCGTGGCCTTGCCCGCTTCTCTTATTTTCTTTTTAACAAAGAGTTTACATGAAAGAGAAGAAAGAGAGATCTCGTTGCCCATCCATCATCGTTAGCATTTCATTCAACGATAGTCGGTCGAGCGGAAGTTGCCGTTGACTTTGAGAGCTGTGTAAACTGGATGAGCAAACAAACGTTTTATGGACGTCCAATAGTACCATCGTCTTCACCACTGTGCATGTACATAGAAATACGTGCATACATTTAATACCGCGATACGTGAGCTAAATAAAAAAATTGATTTCTTCTCTCTTAATCTCGTTAAAATAAAATCCGTGGAATATTTACAAAATATTTACAAAATATCTTTCAAAAACGCAAGTTTAAAATCCTTTTCGAACGGTAAATTAAAATCTCCGTGTCGTTGCCACGTAATTAATTTTTCAAACACGCAAATATCGATTGATTCTCTTCCCTCCAAATCAAACAGAATATCCTCTCTGTATTCTTTCTTTTCCAATAACAAAGAAAATATGAGAAAGAACAAGAGATTAAATACTTGTAACAATCAATCGATAATTCCTTCCCTTCCTTTCCCCTCCCCGCTCAAATTTCAATTTCGAATAGCTACGAATCCTTTCCAAATTTCCGTGAGAAAGGATGACACACTCGGCTGTGTCTATTACAGGAGCATCGGTGACTGTTTGTCATTCGAACACCGTCGATTCGTTCCTTTCTCGGTTCCTGGAGAAATTTCCACGGCCGGCTCGCTCTGCGCCACGTCACGGGCGACGGGAATGGAATAGTAGATGCTCTCGATGACACGGAAGGTGAATTTGGACATCCGAGATCACGGGCCAGGAATGAAAAATAGTGGCGCGGGACGGGTTCGCGGGGAAGTTGACGCATTGCGGCGGGGAAATATGGGTCGATCCCGATTATGTCGGGGGGATGTGTATCCAGCCAATGTGGGATCCAGGCGAACGAAGACGCAGAGAGAGAGAGAGAGAGAGAGAGAGAGTGCGGTACACAGGTATATCTGCATCGTATATAACTAATGCCCGCATATATCAGCGCATTTTTACACCGATGTTGCAACCGTTCACCTTCGAATTTTCCATTTAATCGCCGTCACGGACGCTCTGCTCGCAATCGCCGCTTGAATCTTCTATCTCGGCCACGCGGATTCATTCGAGATGGGGACGGATAATGGGGGGAAAAAATAGGGAAATCGTTGTCGAACGGGAACATGAGATAAGATAATTAAGACAACAAGATAATTGATCGTTGATTTTTATCTTGTTTTTCGAGTTTAATAATAATAAACGCTTGCTACTTCTTCTATTTTTTAAAAATATTTTGAATTACGATATTATAGAATTGGGAAAATTATGCGTAAATATCCCCACTTTAATTATACAGTTTTGTAATCTGTGATTCTCTTAAATGAAATTAAATAATCAGTTAAATTTCCGTTCCTATTCGGCGCGAGAGAAGTTTCGAATCCTTACGAAATTCTACCGTGAACATCAAGATGAAAAATTGACGGGACGCCTATAATTAGGAGTCGACTTGGGCGCCGAGCAGCCATAGTAACGTAGGAAAAGAGCGCTCTCGCCTCGTATCGCTTCACTTTCGCGCTAGGTGGTCCGACGAGTGGGGCACGAAGAAGAACGCGAAGAGAGCATCACGCTTGTTAGGAGAACGGACTTCCACCGGCTAATTGGTATTCCAGCGGCGAGAAGTGTCAGCCTTTTGACTGATTCTATTTCGAGTAGGTTGCGCCCTTTTCCACCGGTTTCCACGGTGTTTACACTGCGGAGGGAATCGTAAGACGGCAAAGTGGCTGACCAACGCCGAGGTCCACCGACAATGCGCCGCATCTCGAGGGCCTTGAATCCTCTCAGACCGGTTCCATCCACCGGGGATTTTCTGGCCGTCTAATCGGTCACCGGGCATCGCTGTCCTCGCGCCTCGGACAGTTCTTCGCGCCCGTGAGTTGTCGTGAAACGGGTTGTCTCTTCTTATAGAACCCGTCGTCCTCTCTTCCTCGTCTCTCCTCTTCCCACTCTCTCTCTCTCTCTCTCTCTCTCTCTCTCTCTCTCTCTCTCTCTCTCTCTCTCTCTCTTTGATCTATTCTCGACCGGACGTGATGGCGCGTTCATTTTTAACGCGTCGAGGCTTCGCACTTTCTCGAGTGGAACTCGCGTTTCTCCTCGAATCGTCGTATCTCGCGAACGTTCACCTCTCGATTCGAAGGAACAAACGAGGAAGATGGTTTGGCTCGATCTTATACACGCGCGACCCGGTCGCCTTTTAGACCCGTGTCATCCGTCCCTCGGCAGGCTGTCGACGTAATCACCCCTATCCTCCGGTTTTCCAGCGAAACATTTCGTTACGGTTGTCGTTTTGTATCGCGACGTGAAAAGAGCCGACGTTTAAAGGAAGTCTCAGGCGGCGTATCGATCGGCCTCCGTTGTCGGTCGTTACAGGTGCGCACGTTTGTCAAACATGCGTCAAGCCGAGCGGTACACTTGAATGGAGCAGGTAAAATTTCCTTGGATCGATAACAAGCGAAAACAATGATTTGTAAGTGCACGTGGTGTAAGAGAATATTTGTTTTTTTTTTTTTTATAATGTAGTAGGTGTAGGTATATAGGTTGAGATGTATACGCGAGGAAAAAATATTTTGGGCAAAAATATTGATTGACGTGCAGACATCGTAAGTGTTGAGATAGGTGTTCGATTTTGCGACGATCTCGTGATAGGTTATTATACACAACTGATATTCAAGCATTTTTCGTTAAAACCATTGTTAAGATATTATTTTATTTATAACATTCGGTGTGGATTTGTACGATTATCTCGATACTTACAATTATTAGAGGAATAATACATAATGATATATATGTATATTTTATTTAAGAGGAAATGCATGATTTATTCGAACATTACACTATGTTAATGCCAGATTAAACACATAATGTAATATGAATCGTGAAATGCCGCGAGTCTAATTTTATTCTCCTATTAAGCAGACCGCAAATGGAGCGTGATAAATGTATAAATCACTATATATCTAATAAGTTCCATCTGGATTAAATGTAATCAGAACATCTGCGTAACTGATTATCCATCTAATTTGATAATTTTCTACGAATCCGAGAATAAATTTATAAGATCTATTAACCTTAATTCTTGATGTTTGACATTTTACATTTCCATTCAACTGCAGTTTCAGATCGAATCTATGAAGCGAGACGTATTGAAAATAATATTTGACTTCGAATTAAGATATGATTGCAATTAAGATAAGATATGCAACGATATGATTTCGTGATATGCACGAAAGAATGAATATTCATAACTCTTTCCTTTTTCTTAAATTTAATTTTCTTAAATTTAATTATAGATGCGGTGAGATAATTTGAATCCCATTTTAAACAATAAATTACACGAATAAAATTTTAATAATCCTTAATAAAATCAATATATATTTTATTACGATTACGATTTAAATTTATTTAAAAACTTTACTTTACTTATTTCATAGTCACCGTTTGACACCGACATCACAACTTCGAATGTGATTTGATTTGAATAAATCTGATAATTTAATTTAACATATATTTTTGATAAATATATGTTTTTCCTCACTGATCTCTGTAATTTCGTTGTCTCGGATCATAAATAACAAAATCGACGCTTTAAACCGAATAAAAATCGTGTTACAATTTTATCATTTAAAATAAAGGAATTCCACGATACGACACAGTAGAATAAAATATGCATTAAAAAATTGCGTATCATGAACATACCAACTGAATCTGATTGTTCTCATCAGAGAAGCTAATAAATTTATGCAACTGAAATTTCCACGACAACGGCAAAAGCGTCGTTTATCCGATATTTATGGCGATTTATCCGTTGATAGGAATCGCTAATGTCACTAGATTCATAGAGTAAACGGTGGAAATGTAACATAGTATACATAGTAGGAGCATTCAACAGGTTGACGTTGCACAATAAAAACTTTTTAAGCGGTCGATACTTCTTTAAACATCGCTACGAACGTTAAAAGAAGAATGATATCGCCACTAGAATGAACTGGGAACGAGGTCAAAGTATCGAATCACTGACGGCCTATACCTTAATAAAAATAAGAAAAAAAAAAAAAAAAAAAAAAAGAAAAAAAAAAGAAAAATAAAAATTCTAGATCCAATAATAGATCGACAGAGAGATCCGTCGAATGCTTTTAAACGCTTTTAAAATAAAAAATAAATAAAAAAATAAATCCTCGATAGCATAATCGATACTCGATATTTTTATATCGACATTGGAAACAAAGGAAACGCGTAATACCATTGACGTATAATCTCATCTTGAAGGAACCGATACATCCGAAGAAGACGAAACTCATACTCTCAACCATAATTCGATAAACATCGACGAGTAGGTGGATGTATAGAGGTGACGAAACCGATTTTCGCGATCGATAAGGAAAATAGACACGCAACAGCTGTACTGAACTGCTGTAAATGAGAAGCGTGGTGCTCGTCAACGAGTAAGCAAGAGAATTACAATTTCTGTCGGTCGGAAGTTTAAAATAAGGAAGATTGAGAAAAATGGGTAAGCAAAAGAACAAATATTTTCTTTTTTTTTTTTTTTTTGCATCGTTACTCGCTTGACAAACACCATTGTCAAATTAAAATTAATATTTCTAATCGTTTCTCTATCCTCTATCTATCCATCAAAGATAACACCACGCTCTCTTCTTCCAATATATAATTTCTTTCTTTCCCCGAAACATCTCGAAATCTTTCTAATAGACCTATCAATGTTGTCCACGATACAATTTGCAAGCTTGATCTAATCTACATTTAATCCTCGAACGGAAATTAAAAGACGTTTCATTCACCTCGTTCCATTCACCTCCATTCGAAACTTTCTTTTCTCTTACATACGCTCGCTTATAATTTATATTTCTTGCAACAATACAGTGGGATACGTGAGATATTTGTTTGCCATAATGATCTGCATCGCGAACATGATTGTCTACGGGTTGAAGGTGAACATAGCCGTAGCTGTCGTCGGCATGGTGAAATACAGAGAAGAGATATCAGACGCGTCGGACGAATGCGATTTTGCTCCTATAGCAGAGGTGATCGATATAGAGGGTCCATTCGAATGGACTTCGACGCAGCGTGGCTTGGCCATCAGTATTTACTTCGCCGGTTATCTGGTAGGAATGTTCCCATGCGGATATTTCGCGGATCGGTAAGTGGAAATAATCAAACAACCAATCTCTTTGAATCGAAAGTCAAATTTGAGAAATATCCAAGTTCGAAGTACTTTTTTCCAAATTCAATATTTCTCTCGAATCGATCACGAGTTGCGATACGTTTCTTCCTCAGATTCTTATACTCGTATATTTTCGTGTCTTTTGGCCATTCGATAGAAAGCAGCTGTATTCTAATCATATCAATTAATTATCTCGAAGATACGCAAAGTTCACAACGACAATGTAACGATTATTATTTGATTCACAGCTTCAACTCGAGGAACGCCCTGCTGATCTGCGTATTTGGGAACGCGGTTTTGACACTGATAGTACCACTGGTCGCGCCCGTGTTGTGGCTACTTTACGTAACGAGATTCGTGATGGGTGTGGTGAGCGCACCGAATCTTCCTATAGTTGCCATCATGGTTGGGAGATGGGTCGTTTACGAGGAGAAGAGTTTGTGGTTCGGTATTATTTATTCCGGAACGTCGATCGGCACCGTGATCTCTATCCTGACGTCAGGAATGATACTGCACGCCCTCGGATGGGAGGCGGTGTTTTACATACACGGTGCCCTCTCGTTGATCTGGTGCGTTGTCTTCCTCGTGTTCTTCCGCGAAAGCCCGGAAACGCAATACTATATATCGGAGGAGGAGAGGCACTACATAGTGACCTCGTACGGGCATCGTGGCCTTGAATCGGTTCACATGAAAGTACCGTGGAAAGCCATTTTCACGTCGGTCCCGTTTCTGGCCCTGATTTACACCAACACGTTCGGAAACTTTGCTTGGTACTTCTTGCTCACACAGCTGCCCATGTATATGAACAAGATTCTGAGATTCGATATTCAATCCGTGAGTCGTATAAATTTTCTTAAAATTTCTTTTCTCATCCCATAAGTGCTCCATTCTTTCTCGTCTAAAATTTTTTTAACGCAAAACGATTATTACGATTAATGTAATTTGTAACGACATTACGAACCAACGAATGGAAAAATTCTTGATTCGTTGTAGTAATATCCGTGTAATATACGTAACGATAATGAATAACAGGGAAAAGTAAGAAAAATTTAATCGATGTAAACACACGTAATCGTATTTATTATAATCTTTCTCCTTAACTTTAATTAAACCATTCGTTTCATTCGTTGCAATTTTTGAAAACAAAAGATCTACAAAAGATTCCACAATATTTTTTATAATTTATTTAATTAAATTATAATTTATTTAATTTAATATATTTAATTATTTAAAACTGAAACGAAATAATTATTATTATTAGCTAATGTAAGCAATAAGTACATGCATATAACCTCCTTGTTGATCACTCGTGGGATGACTTAATTATTGGCTTATTATTATAAGATTTGTCAAAATCTATATCGATGTCGATTCGATAAATTACCAGAACGCAGTTCTAAGTTGCTTGCCGTATCTCTTGGCCGCAATAATGAATCCGATCTTGGGAAGGATACTGGATTGGGGCAGACTGAAGAATTATTGGGATCAAACCGGTGGACGAAAGATCGCGGTGGGGATGAGTAAGTAAAAAATCCAAAAACCCTAATTCTGCTTAAACTTTAAAATTTCTCGATCGATATGGTATCCACAATAATTCTTAATCATTTTCACAGGTTGCATCCCACCGAGTCTTTTTCTGCTTATAATCGCTTATATCGGTTGCTATCGAGTAATTGCCGTCATACTGTTGATGCTTAGCGTAATGTTAGGAGGTTCCATTTTTGTCGGCCATCTTGCCAACCACAACGACTTGGCGCCGAACTATGCTGGAATTTTAATGGGTATTACGAATACTCCAGGAACTATTTCAGCGTTTCTTTTGCCTGCCATAGTGGGCGCTCTCACGGAAGCTGGGGTAAGAGATAATAATAATAATAATAATAATAATAATAATCGAAGAAAATATCGGATCATTTTTTTTTTTCTTTAACAATCGACGAATGAGGAAAATGATCCTTTCGACGGAAAATGAAATTTACAGAGAAATTTTATTGTTGAACTCGCTCTTCGATCGAGAAACGATGCGTGTGTACGATTGAGAAATATTTAATTATGGAAATTATGGAAATCTCGATGAACGAGATTCCTATCCCGTTAAGACGGACATTCCGAGATTTCGAGAATCGTATTCTCCTTCTTCGGGGCGAATTTTCTCGAATACAATCGGTTAGAATGGAAATGTTTACGAGCTACTGATCGAGTATTTGAGGAAGCTCGTCTCGAGATGCGAATTCGGATTGATCGAAATCTTTTGGAGATCCCAATATTCATACGTCAAGAGATATTTTCGAGAATTCAATCTATCTTTACGAAGTATCCGAAATTTTCAGATTTTTCCCACGTTTCCGATCAAATTTATTTCTCACGTGCGCTCTTCGACATCGCATCTCGAACTATCACGTAATATTATCCATTTTCCACTTCCTGCAATTTGAACATTGATAACACTGATAAACTATACGAGTACGTGAATATGAACGATACAAGGTAGCTTAAGGACGCGAAAGAGGATTAAATATTAAAGTAATGGTGAATAAAAAAGTTGTAATTGTAAATAATTGTAATAATACATTGGCGGTCAATGTTTGAATATGTTACATACGCGTCGTTTATAAATTACGAAACTCGAGATTAAATTTAAATAGCTCAACACGTGTGGAATATAAAGTAAATATAAATTCATTTATTCGCTGTCTTTAACCATTATTCTTGACAGTCTCAATCTATTCGCAATACAATTCGCACAAGCGTTAACGCGATTATAATAATTATCAAAAAAAAAAAAAAATATCACATCACAATCATTTTTTATTAATATTATATTTATAACGCAGCATACTATGGCACGATGGAGAGTCGTGTTCTGGATAACAGTTATTGCACAAATGTCTGCATTTGTTGTGTTCACCATCTTTGGATCGGCAGAGATTCAAGAATGGAATTACTATGGGGTAGAAACGGAAGAAAATTAGCAAACTGAATTTGTAATACTGTGTTTTTTCCCCCTTATTTGTATTATTTTACTTTTCACTTCGAGTGAAATATATATTTTTATCGATATTATTATATATATTTTTTCTTTCTTTCTTTCTTTTTTTTTTTTTATGGATATGACAATCAATAATTTTTATTTATACGATAACAGTATTTGTAAATTTATTGTATATCTCAAAGTGTATTTGAAAGAGGATAAAAATTTGAATACATTAGAGGTATATTATTTATTTTTCTATTGCAATTTCTATTTGTATCGAATAAAATTTAAAACGATTATTTTATTTATATATGTATATATATATATACATTATTGTTATATACATTGTATACACGTTGTTTAAATAACTGATTTTATGAAAATAAAATAAACTTTCCATTAATCGAGCGATTTCATTTCTACGATTCGTCGTTCTTTCTCTCGCATTCTACCTACCTTAATAAATTGAAGAAAAATTTCAAAGAGCAGGAAAATAAAATAAAATAAAATGAAAGCCAGAAACCATCGTTCAAACAAATTTTCAATTTTCATTCTAAAATCATAATCTTACTTTTAACAAAACTTACAATATAACCTCCTTCTCTCAACAATCTTTTCTCTTTTTCGCTACAAAAAAAAAAAAAAACGAGAAAACAATTCCCTCCGTTTTTCCTCAAATTTCTCGCGAATCGAGCGGCAGAAAGGGACAAGAAAAAGAAAGAAAGATCGTACAAAATCGAAATAATAATAACTATGCGAACAAAATTGCGCGAAACGTTAGCATTTGCGTTGGCGAAGCAGCGATGGTCGCCTTTCGTTATAAATAATTCACTCCTCTCTCCCTCTCTCTCTCTCTCTCTCTCTCTCTCTCTCTCTCTCTCTCTCTCTCTGCGTCCGTGAAAATCTTTTGAGAGGCGTTATATACACACGGCCGTATAAAGGCAGCGCGTACAGGCGGCCACAGTAATTAGAACCGCGAGACCACCCGTAATGATGGCCGGCCAATTAAGGGCCACCTGGTACAAAAATCCGTCTTATCCCAATTAGATCGCGACGTTTGCGACCGGCGGCCTGCGAAAGCAGCTCGGTCGAAAAAAAAAAGAAGGAAGAAAGAAAGAAAGAAAGAAAGAAAGAGAGAGAGAGAGAGCCGCGGGTCGGCTCCAACTTCCAACAGGGAATATTTATGACGGCTGAAATATTACGTTTGTAATCTATTTCGGTGCTATACGTTGCCCGTTTCGACGGGCATACTCGGGCAGCCCGTTGAAAAACGGAAGATTACAGCTAAGTCATTTCCCCTCTCGTTTGAAACCGTTTCCTGTTTCCAACCAGATATCAAAGACTCGAGAGAAGAGAGCGGGTAGCTTCGTTCCTCGAAATTTCATGAAGATTTTGAACCGCGGAAATTGAGGGAGGGATAGTTGTGTCTCGTTTCTTTTTTCTTCTTCTTTTTTGATATAAATAGATGAAATATATAATTGTAGTTTATTTGGTTGATCCCTGATTTGATTAAAAAATCTTATTGTTCTTTTCTCAAAATACATTCATCACATGTAGAGAATCAGTTGATGAACAGAAATAAATATCGAGTAACCATTTTCAATATTACGAATAACGTTAACGATCTTCCAACAAGATCTTGCCAAATTGGATCTTGCCAATCCAAAACTTAAATCCTTTCAATCGCGATCGAAGAAAACTTTTATTTTCCCTATTTAGAAAGAAACTTAGCGCGACACTTTAAAGGATCAAAAAGAAGAACAAGAAGAAGAAGAAGAAGAAAGAAAACGCCTTCTCCCCTATCTCCACCCCATCGATCGAGAGGACTAACCCGTCTCGTGACGTTTTATTTCCAAAGCCGGCGCGAACCGAAAATTAGCCCCCCTCGAGCAGGCTCGCCGAAAAATTATGGTAGACCTTCGTTAAACAGGCCGTCTAAGCCAGCCGACAATCCGTCGAAGAAGCTATTAATCAAGCGTAATTAAGGTGATCCTCCGCCAGAGGATCGAGACGTCGACTCGTTTGCCCAGACTTGGCAGAAGTAGAGTTGCTCGCGCGTCGCTCCAACGCCACGGTTAATCAATCCTGAACCTCGTTACAGTCTCGAGCCAGTCTCGTTCGCTGGCCCCGAGTCAACGTCAACGCATCCGAAGCGACATCGAAACGCCAAGGATTGTTAATCTAGCGCGGCATAGCGTGTAAACGTAGCATATAGCTGTTAACGATGCGACGAACGAAGGAACGAAACACGCTCTCGATACGAGAAGCGATCGATTTTTGGACACCGATGATTAAAAGTTTTAACTTTTCTTTCGAAAGTATTATAATAATATTGTTATTGTACATAATATTGGAGGCGATAATATTTAAAAGAAAGGGTTAGAAGACGTATTAAACTGAAAGTGGAGGAATCCTTTTAAAAGAAATTCTTCCAGCGTGGATGTGTTGGGAGTTAATTGCGTGGAAAGAGGTTGTCGATTGCTTTTCGAGGTGTTTGTTCTGGACGCGAATCTGGGTCAGCGCTATCAAAGGGTGAATTGGATACGTGGAACAACTGGAAAATGCAGCTGTGTAACAGTCGGACCAAGCTCCACTCTCGTGGAGCTTTCCTACCACGAATCCCTTTTAGCCGTGAGACTGAGCTATTAAGGTCTCGACGTGCCACGTGTCCGCGCCTCATGTCCGCTTCATTCACGGCCGATACACACGCGATATTACGAATCGTATTCAGGTGTAAATGGTAATACGGGCGCGTTAATTCCCAAGAATTATATAATTGCGAAGAATTTTCCATCGATAAATAAACGCACATCCCTTCTCTCGCTGATTTCGAACTTGTTATTAATTGATATTCTTTTCTTTAAATCTCGTCGTGATTCGAAGAGATTTTTATATTACGAGAAAGAAGGGATACGAAAGAAGTTTATCCATGTTTAAGACGAGGAATGGAATTAAAATTAGGTAAGATGATTTTTAGTTCGAGCTTAATTAGTCGAGAAAACGTATTTGTTACCGTTAAAAGTTTCCATACAACGAACCTCGTTTAAGCTCCAAAATTAATGCAAGAAATAAATTACGTGCGTGCTTGTAAAGAGATAATATATTGCTAGGTATATACATACATCCGAGACCGCTATCTTCAACGTTACAACACGGAACGTAACAAATGGACAGCTGTACTGTATATATATACTTTACATTTTCTTCGTATTTTTCAAAAATAAGAGTAATCTCGTACGCAATAAATATATCTACGATACTATCGCGGAATAATTGAAATTTGACAATCTAACTATAACTATAAATTCACACGTTTCCCCGAGTAATATTCACGAATACGAATTGTCCGATACGAGAATTGCCGCGTATCTCAATTCAAACTCGCTTTATCCCCCTCCTCCAACACTCCATCAAACACCATCAAACAGTCTTTACCTCCTCGAGCCGCATCACGTATACTTTTAACCAGCCAGGCTTGGAAGCAAGCGCGGTCGTTAGCCGACTGTTCACCCGTGAGCGTGAACTGGGTCACCGTCTATACCGAGAGAGGAGAGGAGAGGAGAGGAGAGGAGCCGCGGAATCGGCCAAGTTATTCGGAATTATTTCCTTCCTTCCTTCCTTCCCACGGGTGGAAAAACGCGGGATTCGTCGGGGTTGGGAAGGGTCGGAAAGGTCGATGCATTCCACGGAGTCCGGCAAAGAATCCGATATGGCTCTCGGGCCCGATGACGCGTTGAAAGCGGCAGGAATCCCGAAACTCGGTCACCCCGTTTCCAATTGACCGCCCCCTCCATCCCTCCGCCCGGAACCCGGCCCGGCTCCCATTATGCGAACTTCCTGCAGATTAGTTGTCGTCGAGTTTAATATTTTACCGGGTTGATTTTCCGCAGCCGGCTCGCTCCGTTTCGCCCCCGAGTCTGTGTTTAATATCGGTCGTTGTTCCAGGATAACTTAGCTTCGGAGGTATTGTGTATTGCTTAATGCGACGCGTGTTTACATTAGATTATGAAAATTAATTTTTATCGTATCTTAAAGGTAATATAAAGGTTGATTCGTTTCTTTTCGAGGGAAGGAATACAGGGATGATAATAATAATCCAACGAGTGAAAAGGATAAAAATCGAGTAACGATCGAGTATTTTGAACAAACTAATATTTCGATCGTCTATTCTCAAATCCTCAAACAAAAAATTTCTTCGCGTTAATTACTCGGTTAATTTTCCATAATTTCGTTCCGTCATTATTCCTCCTTAAAAAAAAAAAAAAAAGAAAGAAAGAAAAAAGGAAAGAGAGAGAGAGAGAGAGAGAGTGGAATCGCGAAGGGAAGTTGGAGAAGGGAACTCATTGTTGCGCGTTCACGCTTTATTATTATTTCAATTACGTCCGAAACGGGGGCGCGCAGCACCCTTTCAATAGGATTGCGCCGTTTTCCTCTTCTCCGACGTAATACAGCCCTCCCCCTCCCGTCCGCGTCCCGCCCCGGCACCCTTGAAAACCGTCAGCATATTGCGCATGCATAATTGAACGTGTTCAAACAAATAACAAAGTTTTCGCATGCTGATGAGAAACGCATCCGGATTTCGGCTGCCACCGACTGCCGCTGACATATTTTCATTTGCCGGCGGAGGAGGCCGCCATCTCTCTCCTCCCTCCTCCGGATCCTCGTTCGAGATCCACGCGAAATCGTCTCGCGATCGATCTCCTTTTATTATCGGGTTGCATTGAGACGGAGAAGAGGAGAAACGATGTTACGATGTCCTGTTTACGATGCTTCCGTTTCTATAATATATCGAACTTTGATTTGAAAAAATTAGGGGAATTTTTGAGAATAAATATATATATATTTTTTTATATGTCAAAAGATCTATGAGAATAATAGGAAGGAGGAATTCGAGATTTATCTCAAAAGTTGTTTAATATGGGTTCAATAATTAATTATCGTATCCGAGCGTTGTTGAAGAAGAAAGGATCGATCGATTCGAATGGTTATTCACAATGA